CCTATTTGACTCTTTTAATACAAATAATAAAAGCAATTCAGTCCAGAGATTAATTTAAGTCAATATTTATATGATAGAGGTAAATGATGAATTTCATCAACCATATAACACTTCAAATTGGATCTAAGACATTCAATGAATCAAAAAGATTATATTGAATAAAAATTTAAATATATACATCATGCTCTTAATATTACTTATAAAATTATTTATTTCTTTTAATCGTACATTAAACAATAAAATTTTAAATAACCCACACAAATAAAATATAAATAAAACTTTTTACATTTATCATCGAGTAATTATTTAATGCATTAGCATTTCTTCTTTCAATTTCGGTTTATATGTTATTATAAATAACGCTCCATGTACTCCTCAACCGTTGTGTACTTGACCTCTGGGTAAAGAGTGAACGCTTCTTCCGCTTCATCGCCGATTTCAAAATGGGCAAGGTATCCCTCATAACACACGTGATAATAATGTGTTAATCCAACTTGCTCTGCATAATCTTGTTCTGCACCCATTTCATTAAATTAAAATAAATCCATCACTGTTCATCTGAATTTAAATAATAATAATAATAACCTTTCATTATTGCTAGAAACTCTTGTTCGGAAATGGAAGAGTTGAGCAGCTCTTTGCCGATCAATTTCTCCCATATCTCCACCACTTCCCTTTGAGATAAGATGTTCTCTGCTGGCCTTATATACACTGTTTTGTTTAGAGTCCGAGGGTCGTCAATGGTTTTGATGCTATATGTTGCTATATCATCTTCATCAACATATATTGCTTCATGCCCAAAATTTCATTAAAACAAACTAAATACATAAATAAATGTACATCGATCATCTTCTTCGTCTTACCCTTTTGATTGCCATCTCCATGCAAGAGAACATGGTCCCTTGAAGGAAGTATAAAGCCAGGTTGACACAGTCCACCCAGGAAATAACCGGCAAAGCAATTTGCAGAAATATAAGTGAAAGGAATGCCTGCTTCTTCAATTGCTCTCCTCACCACCATTTTGTCATCAAATGTCACCCTTCCCGGTTCCATTGCATTCTCCATTCTCGCTGGATCCGTCCCAAATTCTGATGGCAGGAATCTCTGTTGCATTTCTTACAATATCACATCTCTATAAAACCAACAAAGCTTTCTCATCTGTATAAATATATATGTTTGACAGGCGTAGGCGGGTGCTAATACCTTAATATTTCCAGCCTCCTTGATGGCGTCAACAAGCTTGAGTTGAAGCAGTATTTGGTGGGTTCGGATATGAACTCCGGATATTGCACAAATGACAACGTCCACTAATTTCACCGCATTCACAAGGCTTTGGTGGTCGTTAAAGGAACCGGTGACGAGATGAGCTCCTAGCTGCTTAAACCATAACAGCAGTTGCACCTTCTTAATATCAACACCAACCTCCTTCCTCTGTAGCACATAAGTTTGGTGACCTTGTGCTAAACTTGCCTTAACTAGACGTTTTCCCAAGTACCCGGTTCCCCCGACGATGAGCACTTTGCTTTTCATGGCCATCAATATGATCTTTTCTTCTCACTTTTACACTAATTGATCTCTTGCTTTTCAGATGATCTCCTGTAGGTTTTTCTATACGATAGTGGAAGTTTTTTTAATAATTAAATTTACTTAGCTTTGGGTTCACAGTCACATTTATACTTTTGCTTCAAGCCACATAATGCCTTCGTTTTATTAATAACCTGCGTAGCTGGTAAGATGAGATATTGCCGACAATTCAATCAACTGTTTTCAACGTCGGTAAGCCAACGAAGACCACATAATGCTATTTAATTTTGTTTAAATATGTTAGGTTGCATATACCATTTTGAAATTTTGTTAGCATATTTTAATTAATTCTTATATTATTTTTTAAAATAATTATCGATATCTAATTCATTGGATAATTAATTAAATAATTTGATTTATTATAATCACAACACTATGATTCAAACATTTGACTAAACTTAAATAATCTAGCATTACATTCAATTTTTGCTAAATCAACTAATAATTGATAATATTTTTTTAGATTTTCAATTGATTGTTAACGTAGAATTAAGAAAATAGAATAATTTTTAGACCTTTATATTTATATTTTTAATTATTTTAATTTTAATTTTTAAAAATACATAAAAATCCTATTTTTTTAAATCATGAAAATTCTAAAAATTGAAAGAAAAAAAATATAAACTTCTATAACTCAAAATTTTAATAAAAATATTTTAAATAGGGTAAGCTGCACCAAATAACACTTAATTTTATGTGTTGTATCATTTATACCATTGAACTTTCAATTTTTCCAATTATATCACTGAACTTTGATTTTCGTTTCAATTATACCACTGTGTAGTTAAATTGTTAACAGTCATATCAAAATGACGTCTTTTTGGTGAGGTGTCTACATCGAGAATTATTAGTCACGTCGGCATCCATCAACCACATCATCGTGTCGTTAACGATTTAACGGTTCCGTGGTATAATTGAAACAAAAATCGAAGTTCAATGCTATAATTGACAAAATTGAAAGTTTAGTGGTATAAACTATACAACGTCTAAAGTTCTATGGTATCAGATGTAGTTTACCCTTTAAGATATGATTAAAAAATCAATTTAATTGATTAAAAAATATAAGATGTAAATTTTCATTTGAGTTTTATAAGATATAATCCTCGACCAACAAAAAAACTGTAAACCATTGCATGCTCTTGCCAATGCCATAACCTGAACAGTTCATAGTTCATACACTCAACAATGGCCTTAAAATCTGAAATTACTAATGTTGAGGCTCTCTCCACTTGGTTGATTGACTCGAATTATTTTTAGTTGATCAAATTAATCTTCTTCGTCGTTGAAATTATCTAAACTATCAGATTACACATTCATCAAGATAAATTTTGGATCAAGTCGTTTACAATATGAAGATAACATATGATAAAACTCTTTTTAAGCCTCTTAATGTGATTTGCATGAGGCTATAGACAGACACATGATTTTAAGTTAGGAGAAACGAATTTCTTAAATTTTAAGAGAGATCGAACTTATAAAATTCTAAAAGACGAAAATATATTAACAATTAAAAATACAAAAAAAATCTAAGATATATACTAATTTAAAATTTATATTTATTGGTTAAATACTTTGGGTTGGTAATGTAAAGAAGTTATTTTCTTTATTGGTTAAATATAATCTTTTAAATGTTTAAATATAATTTTTTAATTTTATATTTATTGAGTGATTGAAAATAATGTAGAAATTTTTTTTACTAACACCTTATCTTAATTACTATCTTACCATTCTTTAATATACAAATCTAAAATATATTATTCGAACATAAAATACTCAAGCCATTTATTCTATAAATATTAACCTTTTTATCGATCCACTTTTAAAACTTTTAATGAAAAACTTCACTAATATCCGATGCCTTTGAAAGATTCAACCTTTAGTCAAATCCAATATGTTCAAAAATGGGCGTCCCGATGTATTCCAAGGAATTCGAGATTTCTTCCGTTTTGTTATCCAAGCAAACACCGAGACATGGATTTGGTGAGAGTACAAAATTTCTTTATTAATTTTAAGGAAAAGTTTTGCCTTTATTTTCTTTTTTGAAGGAAAAGTTTTGCAGTATTCAAGAGTATACACATACAAAAAGTGATTACAAGGTGGAGATGATTATGGATGTAATTTAACAGAGCATTCGACTAACTATTCGTGAATCGTTTGTATAACATTCATTTATGTTTGTTTATTAAGTAAAATAAACGAGTATGAATAAAATTTTATGTTCATTTAATAAATGAACGAAGATGAACATGTGTGTGTTTGATTCGTTTACGTTTACGAACAAGCTCGTTTCTAAAGTCATTTATTGGCTTGTTTATAAGCCTGCTTACTCGGTTCTTATTTTCCTTATATATATATATATATGTATTACATTTTAAATAAATATTGGTAATGATATGAACTAAATTGAAGATAAGGTGAACTTTAAACTTCAAATTGTGAAATCTAAGGAATTTAAGGATTTGTAGCATAATTTTATCATTTTTCTTTGACTTCCAAACAAACAAAATGATTTAAAGTGATTGTTGATTGCAAACATTAAATGAACATTTTCACGAACGTTAAATGAACATATTTATAAATGTTAAATGAACATGTTTCGAATGCTAAACGGATAAATACGAACACGTTCAAAAATAAATAAATAAATAAACACGAACGAGATATTGAAATTTTAAACAAACACGAACTGAATATGAATGTCTTAAAAATAAACAAATGAACCAACTTTGTTCGTTCAAACTCAGTTCATTTACACCCCTAAAAATATAAATGATGACATGCAAAAAAAAAATTTGTTTAGTTCGATGAACCAAACAACAATAAATATAGGTTAACGATGGCATCAAGTCGAAAAACAATTGATACAAGTTGTAATGCAGTTGGGTCAGTATTAGGGGTGTCGGATTGTGAGGTGAGGATGTTTAGATCGATTGGTCTTGAGAAACAAATTTTGCTATCTTTTATAGATTAATTTAGAGTGATTCTAAAGTAGTATTTGTTCGAAAGACTTTCAATACATTTGACGATAAACGCTCAAACGATAACGTGCTGGAACTCAGAACCCATAAAGATAACAACCATCCCTTTAACCACTGAGGTCACCTAGTTCGTGTAACAACTGCAGCAATGAGACCAGTCACTACAACTGCAGCAGCTGTGAGAGATGAATTGGCAAATACGAGCTATCATATACAGTGCGAAATTAATCAAATGATCGATTCAGGTAACAAATGAAACAAGATTCATCACCATTTTCGTGCTCCGAACAGATTGAAGAAAATGCTTAAAGATTTGATTGATTACTCCTGCTGTAAGTATTGCTGGAGGTCCTCGAACTTCAGAATTCCATTCAAGGTTTCATTAGCTGCTGATATGGAAATATAGTGCAATTTAACATAATAATAACTGCCTTATGTATCAAGAAACTGGATGTTTGAAGGGATGAATCAAGACCATGTTTTGACAAAATACAAGGCTTGAACTTTATATAGAATAATGACAGACAAGGCCCCAAAATGTATCTTATACATGACACTGAAATGCAGCATAGGCCTTTTATGCCATATGAACCACTAAACTATACTAATCCTTCAAGATTAATACAAGTAGAAGCAGATTACTGCAGTTTATGTAGATAAACAAAATCATAATTGCCTTTATAGCAGAATATCCTACCTCGACAGAATTAATGCTGCATAAAATCAGCCCTGCCCAGAACAAAGATCTCAAAGTCTAGAACTAAAGACGCTCCTAAGTTCTTTTCGAAGGATCTTTCCTGCCGCAGACTTTGGAATTGATTTTGTAAACACCACCCTTCTTACTTTCTTATAAGGTGCAACCTAAGAGAGAAGAAATTATTAGGTAAGTGCCTAATAAACAGGATGGTAAAGGAGCTTTTAAGTGTATTAGGCTTGTGTTATGTTGATATGATTTGTAAATGTAAAATACTATAAAGGGATATATATGATATCCATAAATGGGATGAACTTCCACACCTGATTAGCCACGAAGTCAATGACAGCACCCTCGGTCAGTGTGCTACCATGCCTCCTCACCACGAATGCCACAGGAATCTCACCAGATACTTCATCGGTGTCTCTAAAGCACCCAAAATGAATAAAATTGATGACAGGTAAGGTAAAAGAAATGGATGCGATTTGATTCCACCATTCTCAACTAAAGGTTATCAGCTTTAGAAAATATATCACCGTGTTCAGTACTTTGTGATGATGTAATGGTTGCAAATTGAAATTAATCATTTCGTATACAATTTAATCGCCTTAATCTATAATAAAATCCTATTTCACTTTGGTCTCAGTTCTGAACTTTGCAGTTTATTGTTCCACATGCACATAGTAATCTAATGGCTTCATTGTCTTTTGAGAAATCAGATGCAAAGGTTAAGCATTAGAGATTCATTTTAGGAAGGACAAATAATTCTATCCACATGTCAATCTCTATCAAAAAGGTAAAAGTTAATACTTACGAAGTTACAGCGGCATCTAGTATCTCAGGATGGGAAATCAATATTGCCTCTAAATCAGCAGGGGCTATCTGGTACAACAGTAACATTATAAATACCGTGTTAAAGTGATTTCAGAGCACTAGATTATGTCTGGTCATGATGAAGTATTATAATGACAGGGAAAGAAGTTATGCCTGATAGCCATTGTACTTTATAATCTCCTTCAAGCGGTCTGTTAAGTACAAATACCCATCTTCATCAAAGCATACAATATCACCGGTACGGAGCCAACCATCCTTGTCAATTGTTATCTTGGTGGCCTCAACATTATTCATGTACCCTGGAAAATCAAGAGTATTCTACCAAATAAGCAACCCAATAATATGTCAAGGATATTAATCCTAAATAAAAAATCTAAAGCTAGGTAATGCCATCCTTTATCCCACTGAAATATGATTGCAATAAGCTTTCAGTGAAGTTTCCTCCTTTTATAGCATAGAGTGAACAGTTTATTTTTTCTGCAGCATGGACAGTTTAGAACAAAATGTAGCCATGTTTGCATCATTTTAGGACTGACTGGACCGGTGATCATGTAAAAAAGGGAAAGATGAGAATAAGAATACAAAAATAGATAGAACCGGTCCGGTTTTAATGTCATTTTCAGAGTGCGGCTATCAAAGAAAATACCATATTTCAACGAAGAGATAATTAATTACCTTGCATAATTGCAGGTCCTCTTAGCCAAAGCTCGCCATAAAAGCCAGGAGGCAGAGAAGAGCCAGAATTCCAATCTACCACTTTAGCTTGCATGTTTGGTGCTAGAAGTCCTATTGAAGAATGTTTATAATATTTTCCATTGTTGAAGCCACGAGTTCCTACTGCAGTTGATTCAGTCATGCCATAGCCCTATAGACAGACAAAATTCAGTCGAGCTTAGAGAAAGGCACAACATGTAAATGGCTTACCATTGGTTACAAGTTGCAAGAAAGCATGATAACTTAAGAGGTATATGTTATATTTAAGCCTTAGTACCTGAATGAAATCAACATGAGGGAGAGCCTGAACAAAGTCCTCTATGGTTTTCCTGCTTAAAGGAGCAGCACCAGAGGAAACCTGTTTTAAACTCCTCAAGCTATTTTCACAAACACCCTTGGCCCTCATTGTCAAGCTTGTCAGTATAGGTGGAACAACTGGAAAGTGAGTGATCCCATAATTTTCAATTACTTTCACCACTTCATTGGCATCAAATCTCCTCATGACAACAATGCTAGACCCCAATGACAATAATCCAACCACAAAAAGTGACAATCCATAAATATGGAACATGGGAAGAACAGCTAAATACACATTCTTTGAGCTTGAATATTCGTACTGTGAAGCCTCAAATCTCACGAAAAGCTCAGTCATTGCTATAAAATTCCCATGCGTTAATACAACTCCCTTACTAGCACCTGTAGTACCTGATGAATACATTATTGCAGCTGTGTCTTGCTGCCTAATCACTGGCCTTGGCGCCTTACCAAATTGCCCCCCGATAAGCTTACTAAAAGTTAAAAAAGCAATCTTTTCCGAATCCAGGTCCATGTTTTCTGGTACTCCAATCGAATGCACACCAAATTTCTGAAATTCGTCAACCTTTTCAGGTTGAGTAAACGCAAAACGCACGCCACAATCAGCCATTTGTTTCTTGATCTCCAACATATTACTCAGTGGATTCATGGTGGTAACAACTGCACCCAAATATATAACGCTCAAGAAAATAATGGGGAAATGAACAGAATTCGGTAACAAAAGCAGGACCACATCCCCTTGGGAAACACCTAGGTGGTGGTGGAGGCCAGAGGCCATTGATTGGACCAAAGGTAATAGCTTTGAGTAAGATATTGAATACCCAGATGAAGAATCAATCAAAGCAGTGACCCCACCATGTTGGTGAGAGAAAATGAAAGAAACAACGTCGAGAAATGGATCGGCAGGGAGGGATATAGAGGAATGCTTGCTGGAATAGATTCTTGTTTCTGGTGAATACCAGCCAGGGAAATGAGTAGTTTTGGTTTCTGAAGCCTTGAGGCAAGAGTTCAAGCTTGTAGCCATTGATGTAAAGTTTAGAAAAGAAAACACAGAGAGGCAGAGCAGAGGAGAAAGAACAATGGTCTCTTAGTTTCTTTAGCACCTTTGAGTTTCGTGATGCGAAAGCCCTGTATTATGGTTTGGTTTTGGACACGTCTTAGTCCCACGCAGGCGAACTATAAAGGAAAAAAAAAGGACAAAAACCCTAAACCCATAAACAAAGGAGACCAGTAGTGTGGACTAAAAGGTGCTGAAAACCAAACCGTAATACCCAAGATTTCTCGGCCACCCAATCGATTTTTTCTCACTTATCATGTATCGCCCATTATTTGGGGTATTGAAATTTTTTGAATAAAAATTATTTTTTAACTGTCTATTTATCTATGGAAAATGAAAAATATAAAATTAATTGTATTAATATTATTTATAAAAAGAATTTTTTATATTTGTTGATAAAAGGAATAAAGAAATGTATGTGGTAGCGGACTAGCGGTGATTTGTTTTTTTTTTCCTCACTATTTTTATTAAAATAATTTTATTTTTATTATTAGAAGTATTTTAGTAATATATTGACTACGTATAATTTAACTCATAAAATCAAATTTAATCAAAATATTATAGATAGCATTGGTATATATATATATATATTACTATTAAATTAGTTGATGATAATATTTAATATGTGACAATAATGGAAGATTCACTTCATTTAATTTTTAGGTGAAGAACTGTGTCAGTAATTCTATGATAAATAACTAATCTTTTGAATGTATATGATCACCGTATAATAGATTTAATTCTAATAAATCACGTAAATTTGTTAGAGGTTATATTAAAAGTTACTATTGATTAAAAGATTTGATCAAAAGAGAAATTCCTTTAAAAACTTCATTAATAAAGAAATAAATACAAATATTTAACTTACAGAAAAGATCTGAAAGATGTATAACATTTGTTTCTAATTAAACAAATATCATTGAAATCCCTTGAACAACACTTGTACGTTCTAAAACTCCTTGATCAATACTTATACATTCTAAATTTAATATAGAAATCTCTAATTTATCGGTCTTTCAATTTAGGAGTCAATGACCAAAAAGAAAATTATTTTATTTCGTGAATCAAACACCTAAACAGAGAGTTTAAGATGATCAAAATGGAATCCGTAAAATGAACAAGGGTTGGTATTTTCACGCGTGTGCTGTGAGTCGAAAAAAAAGGCAAATTCAATTTTGGCTTGCAAATTAACTCGGTGGCAGATACATAGTTTCTTTAGGGTTGATAAATCCAATTTTTTAATTAATTATTTATTCAACTTGTTATACTTATCTTTAAATTTTATTTATGTTCATTCTCTATATAAAATTATGTTAATAATATACATAGGTGCATGTTCACTCCAAAAAATATTTCTAAATCCGTTACTGAATTCGTCTTGAATCCAACAAATAATTGAGTCACAACTCAAAAGGGAAAGCTCTAGCAACATCTCAAACACCAAATTCAGCATGGTGGAACATCAACCATAACTTACTAGAAAAAATGCGATGCTTAATCTAAAAGAATAATTTACAGGAATTGAAATGAAATCATCATTAATGGCTTGTGGTAAGTTAAAAAACTGACAAATTTGGTTCTGAGTTCTTAGTCCTAAGCATTCATGCTTCTGCTTCATAATGATAACCATAATGTGTAGGGGAGGAAAAATTATAGGCATATTGGGGTGAGAAGCTATGATGATAGATATCTTGGGGTGGGGAGGGGAAACTGAGATCGTTACTAGTTTCGACATCATCGGCGTAAGATTGGTGCCTATCGACTCGAACCTCTACCAATTCCTCTTCTTTGAAGGATTGGAAAATTGGGTGCAAGTAAGCATCGGTTAAGAAAGTTGTTAAGTTTATATCAGGTTCTGTGGTCCGATCAGTTATGTCCTTTGTCATTGCTTCCTGCATAATGATAATGGAAAATAGAACTTTATCTATAGTTGGAGGTGTTAGCTATCGGCAAGGTGTGGAACTTACCTCAAGCGGATACTTTCGGAACGCGGATTCGAATCGGTTTTTGCAATACTTTTGGAAGTATAATGTCAGTATAGGTAAGGCTACAAGCAGAGGAGTTGAATTAGCAGCCTGTTTTGTACTGAGAAGACCCAATAGTAGAAGTTGGGAGATCACTAAGCTTGCTATTATGCGGCTGTGAACATGAGGCCAGAATGCAGCACCACTCTCGTATTGTTGATTGTAGACGTTAATTATCTGCATGATTAGAATGGCAGATGAGATAACAAAATAACATGCATACAGACAGACTCTGAAGCATTGCGAAGAACAAACCTGATGACGATAAACCACGTAGGCGAAAGCAAAAAAGACTAACATAAAAGGAAGAAGGATGGGAGTAACCACAGCATATACAATTCCCAAAAGGAAGTACAGTTGGAGACTTGGGAGAGTTTCTGGATAGTCCACACTGCCAGGGTCCATGGCCTTTTCTCGGTCCCTTTCGGTCTTCACCAGAAACATGTTCTTAAGATGAAAAATAACCAATGGTTTCAGTCGGAGAACCTCACCGGCTATACCAGCCCATCCGTCAACCATTATGAATGTAATAAAGAAAGTGGCCTTCATCGGTATCGATACACCTATGGTTCTGGGGATCCTGCAATAGGATGGAATAGTCATAACTCATAACAATAACATATGGTAAGACATATTCAAAACTGCATATTAAGACAGTTCGATATCTTAAAATAGTAGCATTAGTCGATAGAGTATTACTGAGTCGGCGATTGGTGAAGGAAAGAGTGCAATTGCTCGAAAGCTGTTCCAGTAACTATACTCCCTAAGAACACATTCACCAACATAAAATAATAATACTTCGCTGATGTTCGTCGCTCGAGAGTCGATAAAGCTATATGTCCCTCAATCTTTGACATGATCATCAGTATAGCAGGCAATATATACAAGAAAATTTTTAGAGCGAGACCAGGAAGGAAACCTTGCAAGAAAGATTTGATGAATTTCCTGCATATTATTTTTCAAGTAGCAATATGTGAGGGTGCTAAAACGATACAGAAAGTTTCACGATCCTAGTATCTATAAGCTAAGAAACTGATAAGCTAACTTACAGTTCTATAACAGGCCTAAGGAAAGGAGCAACTCTTTCGAGACCCTCTAAATTTGCAAGAGATTGCACGAAAGCGATTGGTATCATGTAGAAAAACACCAGTGCAAATACTGATAACGATATTACTAGTTTCCGAATGGTCAACGAGACAAATGGTATGGCCAGATTACGCCAATAAACATCACGGGGTTCTGGTGCCCAATTCGTTAACCACAGGATTGGATTTCTGCTTTGTTGTGTCTGCGCACAAACAGCAGCCCCCCAACGTGATTTGAACGATACGAAAGCAACTGGCAGGATGGATTTTGTGTCTTTTACAACTTTCTGGTACTCTAGTGCCATCTTTTACAGTTGAAGACAAAGCAATAGGCAGAACATTAGAGGCATAGTTGCAATGTAAAATTATTGAAGCATCGGAATAAAACAGCAGCAGCTCACGTTTTTGTCAAATTCTTTTATCTGTTGTCTGTAGAAATCAATGGAATCAACTCTTTCACCCCATAAACCGAGGAACCCTGTCTGAAAGTGAAAAACATTCAAGGAATCAATATATAGCTTATGCTACTAACACGAAAGCGCAAACTACCTTTTTAGTCGGTCTCTTCTCGGGATGTCTTTCGAACTTCAGCTGGTTATAATCCAGCCAATGTTGAAGCCTATCTCTTTTCCTCACCAGTCTAGCAAATTTTGTTGCATCGTAGACTGGCTGAGAATAAAAACAATGCAGAAATTACAAAGCCCCACCAGGCAAGGACAAGGGCAAGGGCAAGCTAGATGTTCATTATGCATTTACTTCTATCATTGTAGTTCAGAACATATAAACTTCTCATGCAAAATTACCTGGTGACAAAGATAAGTATCAGGGTGATTTGTTTTAAAGAATTGGTCCAGAGAATCTGCCATGGAGTGACCTGGAATCTGTGGCACATTCCTCACAACTACCTGCAAAATTCATCAAATTTTACCCATAAAAGGTTGAATAAACAACTGTATATCAAAATCTATGTGACAGTGATGAAGCAGAATGTTCGAATAACCGTGAACTGTTCAGCACGCCTACTTTGTGCAGCCAAGAACTGCAGTCGCATCTTCGCTATATTATCATATTCCTTGTAAAGCATGTAACAAATCCAAACTGTGAACAAGTATTGCAATCCTATATGAACAAAGAACCTGTAAAGTCCACCATAACTCATTAGAAAAGCTAGATAATCTGCAAAAAGATATTTAGTACAGATATGCTGAACTCGCCTTTCGGATTTCGGGCGAACATTTGATATTGAGAGTTTATCAATGTCACTCACAACCAATTCCTTCCTCAGGAAAAATAATGTTCCACTTGACACATTCACTGGAATAAGGATAAGGAGTGCCACAAGTGTTATGGGTACAAAAATCTTTAATCTGTATTATACAGGAAACAACTTTGTTAAAGAACTGTTCAGATATGTTAAAGCTGAGGAACAAGCAAATATACACAAGAAAAGTGAAGGAAAAGAGAATATAGTACCCGAGAGAGTAAATTCTGAGGAAAACAACCGAGTCGAGGCCGGCGTGGTTGATAAGCTCGATCTCACTCATCTTCAAAGCTTGAGGCATCCAATTTAGGAACGTGAGATAAGTCTTGAAATTGAGGTTTACAAACTTTGCCACAAAGTTCCCACCGCTTCTCGGACTTGATCTTCCTCCATTGATGTACCATTTAGGGAAGTAAACTCGGTCGTTAACCGGTTGAATTCTCAGCAAAGCAAAAGCCAACAAGAATGCAAATGCAGTCAGAATATTGATTAAGGCAGACACCCCAATATCACCAAGAGTAGCCATTGAAGGAAAAGAAAACTAGAAAGCAGAGGGAATGAAATGAAAGACAAAGGCTATACTAGGGAAAAACAAAAACATGTGAAAGTTTTTTGTAAAATAGATAAGAGTGACACAAAGGATATGCAAAGAAGCAACCTAAATGGTCCAAATTATGTGACCGCTGATGTAAGAAATATAATGAGAGTTCCAGATAGGAAACGTGTAAATTTTTAAACAAAGAAAGTATATTTTTTTCTCTTCTTGTTCAAGTGGGAAAGAAAACTAATGGATATTTGATCTGTCATGAGTGTGAAAATGAATGTTTAATTAGAGTAGGAAGAGGTTCCATGTGAAAATGAATGTGAGAGCATGAGTGTTGCGTGTAAATGATGATGGATGCCATGGGGTTTGCTTATGGGGATTGTTTTTGTTTTGGTTCATCATCCATGCGTTGATTTGTTGTTGACATTGTGTTTTCTTATCAGCGTCTTTTGATTGATTAAAGAATGTGAAAGGGGACGGATGTCATATTGTATTTTCTTTTTCCAGGTTTTCATGTTTTCCTTGTGCAAAGCTCATAGTCATACTTGGGATGCGATAGTGACAAAATTACCCCATCTACGCCTCAAAATCCGGCCGTTAAGATATGACCCTTACTCCAATTCATTACTGTGCTTAAGATAAAGATTAAAGAAAATACGGTACAACTATCAAAATCTACGCTATTCATTCTCGTTAGAATGAATATTCGATCAAGTCAAGACGAATTGAATCAAAAACTTTCGAGCTAATTGAGTTGATAAGGTTTACTCTATAACTCAAACTTTATATGAATTTTTTTGAGTCGAGTTATTTGAGTTTATATTTATATTTAATTTATAATTATATGATACTAATTGATTTTAATTTAAACAGATTTCTATAACTCTCTATATTTTTTCATATGTGATATACATATATCATGCAGAGTTGAAGGACTTGATTAGAACTTGAAAATCAATCCATTAATTATTAAAAAAATTTGAGTTATTTAAATCATATTTTATAACTCGAAATTTATTTAAAAAATAAATAAAAAATTAATTTTAATCAAAACAAATTTTGCTGACCCTTAATTCTCATACTTTAATATGATGTCCATGGTAGGGATGGACATGGGTCGGGTTTCGGCCAACCTGACTCGACCTGAAAATTTTACATCATTCACCCGATTCGATCCGACCCGAAAAATAAATACCGTCCACCCGACCCGAACTCGGCCTGACTTTTTGAGATAAAATCTGAACTCGACCCGACACAAAATAATAAAAAAATATTATTTTTATTCAATAAAAACAATGATTTAATTGGGAAAAATAATATATAGAGGGGTATTAAAATTATTCCTAAATATATATAAAGTAAAATTATATTTTTTTATCGGATCGAATATTTTTCACCTTAAACCCAAACCCGATCCGACCCAAACATCACATTTAAAAAATCTAACCCGACCCAAATCCAATTAAAAAAAACGACCCGATCGAATCGGGTTCGAGTCTCATGCCCATCCCCTAGAACTCCATGGTGTTGCATGTGCTACAGGGTGTGGGGGTTATCTTAAAACATAGATCCAGGCCCTCCTAGCTGAAAGATAACTTACTTGGGCTAAAATCTTTGACATCTTGACCGGAATTTCATAATCCGGTTCAAACCTAAAGTAAAAGAACAAACCGGCTTTTTTTAATTAATTTTTTTTTGGGAGGATGAAGACCAAGTCGAGGACTACGAGTCCTTTAATTTTAAATTCATAAATGAACATAACGAGGTTTTTGGCTTGCCGGAACCAAAGCCAAAAACACTTGAAAATTTCACTTCAAACAATGAAGCCAATTCTTTATTTTCCTTTTACTCCCTCAACATTGTTCATTTCCATCCTCATCTCAACTTTTAATACCTTATTCCCTCTTCATTTACCTCGCAACACAGGGCAAGGCATGGCAGAAGAGAGTTCTGAAGTTCAAAGCAACCAAGAAATATTCCATGCACATGAACCAAACGATGAGGAAATCAATAGGCCAACCTCTAACGCGGGTGATGTTTCCATGAAAATGGAGAGCACCCGCGAGACTAGCCGGCCATATTCGACGCTTGAGCATAAGCCTTCGAGAGGAGAAATTTGGGTCTGGTATGTGTATGAACTGTGTTCTTACTTTGTTCATATAGCCCTTATCCCCATAGTGTTTTCGCTCATCATCGGTAAAATAGTCGACTTACCTAGTGAGCCACCTCGTGGATGGAACACGAACGCCAAAGGCTTGACTTGTCGGATCCATGAAATGCAACTGTAGGTGTTAATATGTTTTTTTCTCTCTCAAATACTATGCAACTGTAGTTCATCGAAGCAGTTTTAATGATCTATATGTTTTGACTACAGGTATGAGCGACTCACACGTCGTTCAATATCGGTTGGCAATTCCAAAGTCTCCCCTTTAGAGTGGACTTCAATCTCTTGGGCCATAGGTCTAGTTCTGGCTAGCCCTGCACTTCGTTTCATTTCCACCAACCTTGACCATGGCCAGAACCAGCAAGCTATTTCTGGAGCAGCAACAGCCATCGGAGCATTTTTTTGCCTGCCTGTTGGATTCTTCAAAGTCACATGGATCTTCCCGCTATATATCGCAATGATCGCAGTCGCCATTACCATCGCTACTGCCTCCCACACACGCCATTATGGACTGATGATCCGAGGCTTCGTGGGACCGAACCTTCAAAGACAACAATTCCCCATTAGAAGAGGTGTCTCGAGTCAGTTGTCGCTCTTTGCCACCGTTTTTGGTTCCTTGGGGACTGCTTTAATAGTAGCATTCGTATATTACATGCTTCGAATCGACAACATATTTATCGGCCTGTGGGTTGTTTGTATTTTCAGTGGACTTATGTGGCTAGCTGGAATAGTTCACATTATTACCTTGAGGCCTGGGGCAACCCTCACCTTTCCTTTACCAAAAGACCATTTTCTCTCCATTTTTAAATCCCATCATGGCGTTGGAAGCCTCATCGTTGTTGGTCTATCTTCATTCACATCAATGTGCATTTTCACAGGAGGTGTACTCTATTTGGTTGGTGAACTCTGCCTCAAGCCTGTTTTCTTACTCTATTTCTGGCTGATTTATTTCGTTTCCCCCTCTATTTCTCTCCCACTAGTACAACCGGTTCAACTTCTATTAAAGGCAGATGCTGTTAAAATGCATCTTCTCGGACTCGTTTTATCACTAGTAACTTCAGGTGTCGGATTCCAATTCCGGGAGGACAATTGGCAAAGACATCACATATTTATTTTCGCAGCGTTACAAAGCACGTCAACAGGACTCATGCACACTTTCGCGCGAGTTTTGGTGATGGATTGCTCACCAGCCGGGAAAGAAGGCACGTTTGCGATGTGGTTCTCATGGGTGAAAATGGTGGGAACTTGCCTAGGCTTCGCGGTAGCATCGGGAGCCGCAGCTGGGAACGTGGGAACTTCTTTCGGAATCGCGTTCTGCACGGCTGCAGTTGCGATGGTGGTTTCCATATATGGGAACATTAGTGACGTTGCAGGTGCTGTAGCCGCGGGGACTAGTGGTGAAGAAGGCGAGTCCAATGGCTTGGACAATAGAAATAGCATTAAGAATGATGAGAATGAGAATGCAAAGAAAGAGCCGGCCTTGCCTGTGGGCGAGGAAGCTGCAGAGGAAGGTGAAAAGGATCAATAATTAAAGGGTTTCGGGTGTTTCTATGTTATTAAGTCAATTTTCTCTTTGTATCGTAATTCTTTGGAAATAATATTTGGCAAGCAGATTTGTTATGGGATATAGATCAATGTTGTTTATTTGATTTATGACGAACCTTGTTTATTGATGAATGGAAATGGACTCTATTCTTAAGTTTCATCGACGTCTTGATAAAGACAAGCTATTACTCTCACAAGTCCTCCAAATTAAAGACAAGCCATTGCCCAAGTCCTCCAAATTAAAGACAAGTTATTCCTTTTATACAGTAATTGTCTTTTCTGTTATTCCTTTTATACCATAAATGTCTTTTTTTCACGAGTTCAGATCATTTTATGATATTTCCTCCATTAATGAGATAATATTCTCTGTAAATTGTATCTCTATTGTTACTCCTTCACCTATTGATGCCTCCGAAATTCTTAGAAGTCTCCGAAAATTTATATCCTCCGGACAACTATGATCTATTGATCTGACCGCTATCAATCCTATCACCAGTTAAATTTATTATATGACGGTTATGTCTACTCACTTCATCGACTTACATATAACCACCATCATCTTAGATATTATCAACACTAAGGGTATGTACATAAATCGTTATGCAAAATTGAAGAGAGAACTTTATCTCTTAACATCTCTTATTGTTAATTATTTTCTTTAAATCGTTTACTCTCTTTTTATTTCATAATATGCATTTACAAATGACTAGATATAAACTTTTAACACTTGAATAACGGGCTTCATTTTATTCAATACATTAATTTCATTGTTTAAAATTGTTGTGTCTTTTTTTTTAATTTAAGTATTCTTTTAATATTTTTGTGTTCTTTTCTTTTTTTTCTTTGATTTTTGTTTAGTCGATGATGACACCAATTTTAGTATTAATTGCGACCATTAGTGATTATTCGTTCTCTTGATTTTTTATACTATCTCATTTGTTTTCCTTTTTTCTGAGTTTTTTTTCCTTCAATTTTAAATAAGAATCTCAATTATTATGTATGTGTTTTCTCTACTCTTATGACACGATCCTTATAACTTTTAAATAACATCATCTTAGATTTTACATCAACATTAAAGTGTTGTATATAAATCATTGTACAAAATTATAGAGAGAACTATCTCTGTCTTAATCTTTTTTATTGTTAATTATTTCTTTAAATCATCTGCTCTCTACTTCTTTCACATCACACGATTATTTACTTAAATTAAAAGAGATAAATAGCTAAATGATGTCACAGTCCAATTTTCTCTATTAATAATAATATATTTTTAACATTAACGAAATTATAAAATTAGAGTACTAAAAGATTAATTCGATTGATTTCCGGCTAATTCTCTCAATATTATTTTATTGATATAATTCGATTGATTTCGTACTTCTGCATTTACAAATGATTAGACAGACTTTTAACACCAAACCACAGGTTTCATTTTATTCAACACATTAATTACATAGTTTAAAATTGTTAT